CACTCCTTCTGGTACCTATTTCTGGACTGTCCTATTTAATCAACAGATCTCACCGTAGATCACTAGCTTCGATACATAGGTAAATAACTGTCGCAAAGTTTGAAATCTCTAGATAATAATATAGCCTTAAAAGTCAAACATTGTGTCGCGTATTAAAACCAAATAGAGCCTTTAGAGGATCTGAATTTCAACCAGACTGATATCGATTATAATTACCAGGCTATGACTATGGTGCCTACCCCTGGGGCACATTCGGCGAATTTGACTTTTTTTACAAAACTTTTTAAAAATGTTTAACTAATACTAATTTTTTATATCTTTTAAGTACTAGTTTTTATAATTAAGTATCAGATGCAGGGACGTACGCAGGGGGGCGGCCCATGTACACATGTATAGTCTGACATAGCTATACCAGAGGACGAATTGGTTGCGCAGACCGCTATGAAATTTTACATGCATTTCCTGTTATGGTCAATGACTAAGACTAACATTTTTGGTGATGATTAGATGATACTTGGGGTATGTAATAGGCCGAAACTTTTTTGATAATGACTTTTATTTGAAAAAATCAATTAGTTCGGGACAACATGATTCGGAAAAGATGGCAGGGTGCAAATATCGCGTAATGTTTACTAGGCTCGGAATATAGATCCGCAGAAAGTTGGAATTCAGTGGTAGTTGTATAGGGTATCATATGGTCTGATCCGTCTGAATATACTGCTCCGCAAAGTGTACATATCTTCATTAGCTACGAGGCTTAACAGAATTTTCCTTTGGGGATTTGAACTGTACATTCTGAATAGTAACTGGGGTTAATTTTGTTCTTTCTGTAAGTAATATTTCCAGAAAATCTCTATAGCGATTTGAACTCAAATAACGAAGTTTATTCAGGAATAACAACGGTTCTATTTAGATCGTAAGGCTACTGCATATGAAGATGCTCCTATAATTTATGTTATTCCACAAAATGAGTTTTTGGAGGTGCTTGAGGAAGCAATTATACAAATATATGCAAGTCCGAAAAATAAACAAAAGATGCATAAAATGGGTTTGAAGCTCTTATGCACAAACCAGTACGATAGCGTCGATAGTTGTACCCGCAATTTTTTTCAGATTTTCAGTCCTTAAAATATCCAGTTGGATTACACATTTTATTCTTCTAGTTGGATATTTCAAGCATACTTTAGGGCGTGTATGTGCATATCAATGTCGATAATAAAGTGTTCACACATGGTCGGTAATGGTTTATGTCCACGCTAGTGGTAATGTGGATTGTAGCCATTTACCGACTTAACCCCTGTTTGGTACAATATATTCGGATATTCAGTTGTAAAATATTCGGCTGGATTGTTTGTTTCTCATTAACTTTTTAATGTTTATGACTGCGGTACAGGGTATTATGTCTTTGTGTATATGTTTGTAACATACAAATGGAAACAATATAGACCCATAATTACATTTGAGGAGATAAGTATATAGAAATATAGACTTCTGCGTATCCGTGTTTTTTTTTTTTAATCTGTCTATATATATTTTGTAAACAATAAAAAAATAGGAAAATCGATACAGATTTAGGCATAGCTCCCTTATAAATTGTTTCGTTCGATTTTATGTAATTGCTGCAAATAGCATGTTCATTAGATTAGATCTAAATGGTGTATTAAATACCGCACATATCTCCGATTGCGACGAAATTTTGTTCAACGTTCCAAATTGAGCCTATAATAATTTTTATTGAGATCTGTTAAAATCGGTTCAGATTTTGATATTCATATTTAGTTCCAAAAAGCCCCTTTAAAGTATTTTACCTCTAGGAAGGTATAAATATGTGGGTATTTAATTTGGTAATTTTCAAAAATGTCGGGAGTAGATAGGTAGGTTAGTGTTTCATTCGACTAATATTTATTTTGACATTATTTTATTTTGTCCGACGCCTTTCTTATTGTTGTCTATATTGTTAAATTGTCGACCCGCTCTAATAATATGTGTTGTTGTTCCTTTTTTAATTATACATTTAATACTAATTTTTATTACTGATCTCTAAGGGCGAGCGTATCATCATCGTCGTCGAACAACTGTTGTCTGTTTGTGGTCTTTAAGGTCATAATCAAGATTTAATAGCTCACCCCGCATTATCTCCCGGCTTTGTGTGTCTGTTCATTTTTTGTTGATACTTGAGAGCTTCTTCGCTGAGTATTATCAATTTAATAAGATTTTTTTTTCGTTTGGTGCAAATTACATTCAAATGTGTACAACAAAAGGCAACAACAACACCATCAACAATAGCAACAAATAATTTCCATGCAAGCACAATCGCACATAGCCATCGGTCGCATGAAATTAATTCGATAAGCACCGTGATTTATTTTTAGAATTCTAGAATATTTCACATTATGGAGGATTTTCTTGGGAATTTTTCATAGGAAATTTTGAGCCCCCCAGAGGCTAGGAGATTTTCTATAGAAAATTTAAAGCCACCCCAGTGGCTTGGGGATTTTCTATAGAAAATTTAAAGCCACCCCAGTGGCTTGGGGATTTTCTATAGAAAATTTAAAGCCACCCCCATGAAATTAATTCGATAAGCACCGTGATTTATTTTTAGAATTCTAGAATATTTTTCATTATGGAGGAGTTTCTTGGGAATTTTTTATAGGAAATTTAAAGCCACCCCAGTGGCTTGGGGATTTTCTATAGAAAATTTAAAGCCACCCCAGTGGCTTGGGGATTTTCTATAGAAAATTTAAAGCCACCCCAGTGGCTTGGGGATTTTCTATAGAAAATTTAAAGCCACCCCAGTGGCTTGGGGATTTTCTATAGAAAATTTAAAGCCACCCCAGTGGCTTGGGGATTTTCTATAGAAAATTTAAAGCCACCCCAGTGGCTTGGGGATTTTCTATAGAAAATTTAAAGCCACCCCAGTGGCTTGGGGATTTTCTATAGAAAATTTAAAGCCACCCCAGTAGCTTGGGGATTTTCTATAGAAAATTTAAAGCCACCCCAGTGGCTTGGGGATTTTCTATAGAAAATTTAAAGCCACCCCAGTGGCTTGGGGATTTTCTATAGAAAATTTAAAGCCACCCCATTGGCTTGGGGATTTTCTATAGAAAATTTAAAGCCACCCCAGTGGCTTGGGGATTTTCTATAGAAAATTTAAAGCCACCCCAGTGGCTTGGGGATTTTCTATAGAAAATTTAAAGCCACCCCAGTGGCTTGGGGATTTTCTATAGAAAATTTAAAGCCACCCCAGTGGCTTGGGGATTTTCTATAGAAAATTTAAAGCCACCCCAGTGGCTTGGGGATTTTCTATAGAAAATTTAAAGCCACCCCAGTGGCTTGGGGATTTTCTATAGAAAATTTAAAGCCACCCCAGTGGCTTGGGGATTTTCTATAGAAAATTTAAAGCCACCCCAGTGGGCTTTCTATACCCCCCCCAGTGGGGATTTTCTATAGAAAATTTAAAGCCACCCCAGTGGCTTGGGGATTTTCTATAGAAAATTTAAAGCCACCCCAGTGGCTTGGGGATTTTCTATAGAAAATTTAAAGCCACCCCAGTGGCTTGGGGATTTTCTATAGAAAATTTAAAGCCACCCCAGTGGCTTGGGGATTTTCTATAGAAAATTTAAAGCCACCCCAGTGGCTTGGGGATTTTCTATAGAAAATTTAAAGCCACCCCAGTGGCTTGGGGATTTTCTATAGAAAATTTAAAGCCACCCCAGTGGCTTGGGGATTTTCTATAGAAAATTTAAAGCCACCCCAGTGGCTTGGAGATTTTCTATAGAAAATTTAAAGCCACCCCAGTGGCTTGGGGATTTTATATAGAAAATTTAAAGCCACCCCAGTGGCTTGGGGATTTTCTCTGTAGAAAATTTGTAGCCACCTAGTGGTATAGGGATTTTCTCTGTATAAAATTTGAAGCCACCCCAGTGGCTTGGGGATTTTGAAGCCTCTCCAAAGGCTTGGGGGTTTTCGATAGAAATTTTTGAAGCCTCTCAAGAGGCTTGGGGATTTTCTATAGAAAATTTAAAGCCACCCCAGTGGCTTGGGGATTTTCTATAGAAAATTTAAAGCCACCCCGTGGCTTGGGGATTTTCTATAGAAAATTTAAAGCCACACCAGTGGCTTGGGGACTTTCTCTGTAGAAAATTTGAAGCCACTCCAGTGACTTTGGAATTTTCTCTGTAGAAAATTTGTAGCCACCCCAGTGGTATAGGGATTTTCTCTTTATAAAATTTGAAGCCACCGCAGTGGCTTGGGGATTTTGAAGCCTCTCCAAAGGCTTGGGGGTTTTCGATAGAAATTTTTGAACCCTCTCCAGAGGCTTGGGGATTTTCTATAGAAAATTTGAAGCTTCTCCAGAGGCTTGGGGATTTTCTCTGTAGAAAATTTGAAGCCACCCCAATGGCTTGGGGATTTTCTTTGTAGAAAATTTAAAGCCACCCCAGTGGCTTGGGGATTTTCTCCGTATAAAATTTGAAGCCACCTCAGTGGCTTGGGGATTTTCTCCGTATAAAATTTGAAGCCACCCCAGTGGCTTGGGGATTTTCTATAGAAGCTTTGAAGCCTCCCCAAATGCTTGATGATTCTTTATAGAAAATTTGAGGCCTCCCGAAAGGTTTGTCGATTTTCTATAGAACATTTTCGAAGCTCTCCTTTGAAGGCTCTATAATTTTCAATCTTTAAATTTCTTTCTTTGTTGGTGAATCACCAATTCCATTTTATCTCCTACACCTCCCATTTAGCCTTCATTGTGTTATTGACCCTCCATTTTATTAAAAGATAAGTTCACAAGGTGACCAATTGATTATGGCACCACCCCGCAAGAGGTTAATAAAACCAAGCAGATGCATTTTGCTGGGAGATAACCTCCTACTCGCTACAACAAACAATAAAAGAACACAAGCTCAAGCCAGACTCACACACGAATCCATTCGGCAAGTACACAAAGAAACGAAGTGAAAGTATAAAAACCCTGAGAACTCAGAATCCATACAAACAGTATAATGAAGGTGTTCGTTGTGATTTTATGCTTAGCATCAGCTTCGGTAAGTAACTTCCCTATAAAATGACTACGAAATTCTAGAAAAATAATTTTTATTCTCGATTTCTGCCCCCACACAGGTCTTGGCCCATCACGAAGAGGGTCATGAGGGACACGAGGGCCATACCCACAACCATCACATAAATCATGATGGCCATGACTATACCGTCAAGACCAAAGAAGATTTGGCCAGATTCCGTGAAGAATGCGGCAAGCAGTTGAATGTCCCCGCCGATAAATTGGAAAAATACAAGTCCTGGGAATATCCCAACGATGAGGTGACCCGTTGCTATATGAAATGTGTTTTCGAGAAGTTTGGCTTCTTCGATGAGACGCATGGCTTCAACCCTTATCTTGTCCATCATCAATTGGCCGGTGGTCATGAACCTATCGATCATAGCGATGAAATTCATCAGAAGATTGACATGTGTGCCGATCATAATACCGAAAAATCGGATGCTTGTACCTGGGCCTATCGTGGCGGTATGTGCTTCTTGCAGAATCATTTGAAATTGGTGCAGGACAGCATTCACAGTCATTAAGTGAAGAAAGACTGGCAAATTTGGAGCAAAGATGTGATATGTGATAGAGAAAAAATTTTCAAAAATAAAGACTTCGTTTACTTAAATTGTTCTCAGAATCGATGGATTTTTTATTTCAGGGCTTGAATTCCCCAGCCTATAAGGGGCTCTTCGCAAATTCCCAAGCCTCTGGGGAGGCTTTACATTTTCTGTAGAGAATCCCTAAGGCTCTGGGGAGGCTTAAAATTGTCTATAGTAAATTCCCAAGCCTGTAGGGAGGCTTCAAAATTTCTTTAAAAAATTCCCAAGCCTCAGCGGAGGCTTCAAATGTTCTACAAAAATTACAAGCCTCTTGGGAAGCTTCAAATTTTCTACAACAAATTACAAGCCTTTTGGGAGGTTTCAAATTTTCTATACAAAATAAACAAGTCTCTGGGGAGGCTTCAAAATTTGCTATAGAAAATTCCCAAGTTTTTAGGGAGGCTTCACCAAATTTTCTATAGAAAATTCTCAAGCCTCTTGGGAGGCTTCACCAAATTTTCTATAGAAAATTCTCAAGCCTCTTGGGAGGCTTCACCAAATTTTCTATAGAAAATTCTCAAGCCTCTTGGGAGGCTTCACCAAATTTTCAATAGAAAATTGTCAAGCCTCTGTGGAGGCTTAAGATTTTCTATAGAAAATTGTCAAGCCTCTGTGGAGGCTTAAGATTTTCTATAGGAAATTGTCAAGCCTCTGTGGAGGCTTAAGATTTTTTTTCAAATTCGGCCAGTCTCGTCAGGCTTCAAATCTGCACATGTTCTATATAAATTTCCTAAACCCCCTTGAACACTTTTTGTTTTGAAAAACTTGAAATTACGTTCGCTTCGAAATCGAAACTAGTTTCCTCTCTCTTCATACTTTTAAAATAAATATTAGCATGCTATCTTCTTTGAATCATCTTTTCGCTTCTCATCTTGTCAAAAGCCAATAACAAATCACATAAAATAACAATAGACAGTTTCAATTCGAAAGAATTTGCACAAGCCCCTTTGTGGAGTTGTTGGTGTACGACAGCAACATACCCGCATATCTTATGGATTTGAATATTGCCCCTTATTCGGCTCATAAGAGATTTTTGTTCTTGGAAAGGTAATTAAGTTAGATTTGATTACTATGGTAATTTAATAACGAATAATGGATAATTGTATTCTTTCAGTCACTCATACGAAGTTATTTGCTGTCAATTGCATTGAGAAGTCCATTATGAATTAGCTTTTTGCAACAACAGCAAGACAACAACAATTCATACATATATTTGACACAAGAATCTATAAACAAAAGGCTTGTGTGTGTTGGCTGCGTTCATTTATCAGCATCGATGTATGGGGGCTACTGTTACTGAGTTTGAGAGATTAGACCGAGTGGGAGATTGTTCCTCTAAACTATGCTTGGCAACTAAATCAAAAGACAATAAAACCAGATACACTGCAAATTATTTGAATGTTCTATTCAAGTGGATTGAATTGCGATTATTATAAGCTTCATAAGATTCAGTGTAGTATACACACGCACATACATATTGCGAGATCTGCAGCTACAATGTTATTTGTATGTATTTTCCATGAATATTGTATATTTTTGATATTTTATTAAGAATGAGTATGACAGAGGAGTATAGCCAATCGGTGTCGACCGTATGATACCCTATAAAATGACCCCCCATTAGAAAGTGTGGAAGAATAGACACCATCTTCAGATTTCGATTCATATAAAATTTACAATTTGCGAGAAGGTATAAAATTAAGTAAATCGTTGGGTCCTATATTGAACCATGGGTTTATCCATGTTTGTAGGATATATTTCGGCGTGCCATGTTTGGATGGCCTAGTTTCTAAACTGATTACTTAGACCATAGTAGCATCTGTTGGCCATCACAATCCTTCTCCGAATTTCAAAACTGATGTCACCATATTGTAATGAATTACCGGGCGGGATTATCAAAAATGGGGTCTATGTCGAAATGTGGATCGTTATAGCATATTTTCGAAACTGAAATTTTAGTTTTCTATATCGATACAAATCTAAAAGTATGAAGATTTATTACCAAATAGGAATCCAAAATACCAAATTGTAGCGATTTCAGTAGCGAACTGTGCTCAAACCGCCAATATACCGAAAATATGGGGGATACCCAACAAATTTTAACCAAATAGATAAATTTTAGCGGGAAGATTTGGTACCCAACTAGATCAAAAAACCTGTTCAAAAAACTCAATATCCGCTTATTTTGGGTTTCTGCTATCTGTTGTGTTTGCAGCTTTTCGACGTCGAGTTTCCGTGTTGTGTTAGATCGCACCTTTGCTGCTACATTAAGACGAGTGCGAACCATGGCTGCTACAATATCCGAATCGATATTCGCTCCTCGGATCGATCGAACGTCTAAAACCCTGCATGAATGCCTTCCGTCTATCCCAACATGATCGATTTGATTTCTCGTTGTTTGATCGGGAGAAATCCAAGTGACCTTGTGTATATCGAAATATTTAAATCTGGTGCTACTAACTACCATGTTTTTGGCTGCCGCGAAGTCAACCTCATGCCGTTGTTGTTTCTTCATTCATGTTTCTTCATTGAGACTGAATTTTCCGACAGTGGGGCCAAAGATATTTTCCCCTTTGATTTTTATGTTAAAATTTTAATGTTAAGGCCAGGGCAGCGGTCATATGCTTTTTCTAGGTGCTCATCTTTGTCTCCCGTCGGAGCATGAGCATAGATAAGACTGAAGAAGAAGAACTTCGCTTTTATACGGATTATAGCAAGTCACTCATCTACTGGAGTGAATCTAGAGACGAAATTTTTTTATTATCCGCAGACAAATTTAAGTCTCGTTTCATGTCAGCTATGATACAGTGCGTAATCTTATGATTTACTTAGGCCTGTCCCTTTCCATCGCATTTCCTGTAATGCAATAATATGGGCTTTGTACTTCTTGAGTAGATGCGCCTGTTCTGTAGTGCAGATTCGCAGATCGTGGTCCTTTCTATGTTTGCGAGGGTCGTCAACATTAGGGAGGTTTGTTTTATTTTTCTTTGCTTTTTCATAGTAGTTGTTGTGTGGGCAACTAATCCAAACCCATTTCTTTATAGTTCTTGTGGGTAAACAGCTCACTAATTCAACGGGTAATGAAAATAGCTACCCCAGGTGACACCGCGGAGAGGTCAGTGTCCACAATTGAGATGAAAGAGGGGCCAAGATAAGCCTGGACTTCGCCATGTTAAAGCCAATCAGAGCCGTTGCTTGGTATCTCCTACGTCACTCGATAAATATAAACTATATGACATTTCGATTTTGACCTCATGCCACTTGTAAACCGTTACCTAAAAGCTATGAAAGTTTACTGCTGTAAAGCTCAATGCCTTAGATTTGAAACATATAAGGTTTTTCCCACTCTACCTAAAATTGACTTTTTGTGGCCCATAGTGCGTCATTGACAAATGGCTCCCAACTAAGTAGTACCTCAATAACATGTACATTGCATTGCCTAAGCTCAAAGAATGGACATGTTATGGGGGTACTTTCGAAAATTCTACTGGTGACCAATGTGAGATTCAAGGGTATATATGATGACAATACCGAAACGATTGCTAATGATTTTGGCGTCCAATGCGGGGCCCAAGTATAACACCGTTAAGGAAACGAAACTAATTTGTCACATTTGGATTATATAATATCCTTAGCTGTTATGTTCGGATATTCAATATTCTATGTCGTATATCATATTGTTTTCAAGTAAAGCCAATTACAGGGTTGCCCATATTCGACGGACCCATCTGGTAACGCCATAACTTTTGACAGAGATGTCACATCGCTTAATGACATACCGCGTTTGAAGCGTCAGTCCAAGCATATTTTTACCATGAACCAATACACGCCACGCGAGATCTCTGAAATATTTATACGAAAAATTTTCGACTGGTAAGGCTCTTTCTAATCCGAAGAGGTCACATAAAATCGACCAAGGCGATCGGCCGAGAATATCGCTGCCGTATGAGCCAGTGTTGAAAGGTCCCTAAGAATATCCAAAAAACGCAGTTCTCAGCATTTTTGCATGGCTCAGTCCACTTTACAACGGATTATTCGTATTGATTTGCATTTGTTCCCGTAAAAAATGCAATTGACGCAAATAATGTTGCCCGCGGACAAGCCTCGTCGATTGGAATGGGCCCAATGAGTCATCGAAATGGCCGAAGATGACGAGCAATTTCGGAACAAAATTAGCATGTCCGATGAAGCCCATTTCACACTGAATGGTACCGTAAATAAGCAAAATTGCCGTTTTTACGCCACTGAAAATCCTCAGGAGATTCAAGAAGTGCCTCTTCATGACGAAAAAGTCACAGTTTGGTGCGGCGTTAGTGCGAAAACGGTCATTGGGCCGTTTTTCTTCCAAAATGAAAATGGCCATGCTGTTACCATCAATCAGGAGCGTTATCGCGACATAATGACCAATTTTTGTGATGCCAATTCGTCGAAAGCGTATGAGACAGTTCTGGTTTCAACAAGACGGCGCTCCACCGCACACAAGTCGCATAACAATCGATTTTCTGAAGAATTTGTCTCCGGGCCGTTTGATGTCGAAAAGTGGTGATTTGGACTGGCCACCGCGTTCGCCCGATTTGACGCCGCCTGACTTCTTCTTGTGGGGATATTTGAAGTCAAAGGTTTACCTTAACAAGCCAAGGACCGTAGAAGAGCTCAAGGACAACATTCGTGAAGAAATAGCCGCTATTCCGGCCGAAATGTTGGTAGAAACTATGGAAAATGCAGCAAAAAGGGCACAATACGTCATCAACGCCAGAGGCGGCCATTTGAGAGATATCTTATTCAAACATTGATGTAAACAAATCTACTTGGAACAAATTAAATGATTAACGTTGCCAACCGCCAAATTTTTATTTTTTTCTTTGATTTTTAAAAAAAACATGGGTCCGTCGAATATGGGCAACCCTGTATAAGTCGATGTTATTAATTTGAAATTTTGG